ATTTAGATTTGAAACTGGGAGAGTTGCCACTCTTCTTGATATTTTGTCTTCGGTTTGGTCCAATGGATACAGTAGTATTTGCAGAAGTTAAAGGAATAGTATAATGCAATGTAGAATTAGAATTGAATGTTCAGTTGATGAGTCAACTATTGTGTTATGGATTGATGCTTTAATACGGATTAATTTTAATGGCTTTCCTTGTATAGAAGATCTGTCAAATTTAGGCTGAAATCGGACCAGTCGAACATTCATCGTAAGTGTTTTTCTTAATCACTGTTTCCATGACATAATACGATTCAGTACATTGAATTTAATACACCTCCGATTTGGAAGTTGACTAGTATGCAAACAGAAAAAAGTGAGATACTGATCAATTTTCTAGACGTTCAATGAATCATATCGTCAGGTCATTTTTCACAGAGATGGCTCTCTTCCGCTGGTAGGATGTAATAAAAGTCTCCATATATGAATTGAAAAGTGAACGACAGCTTAAAAATCACTCATCGATATTGTCGTTCAGTTATATCCCGAAATTATTGTTAAACAAGCTACAATTAAAAAAAAATATTTTTCCCCCTACAGGTTTACCCGCTTTACTACTAGTCCCAAGAGAGCCAAGAACTTCAAATTTGAGAGAGAAAATTCGCTCTCACGAGCTCAATCCCTCAACATGCCATGTATTTTGATGATGTGATTTCCCTCTCACAGACTACAAAATATTGGTTCAAAAGATACGAATTAAAAAAAAAATCATTTTGGAAAAAATTTAAAGAAAAATGTTTTTTGAATCAACTTAACATGGAAATGGTCACCCTAATGAAAAAAAAAAATACGGGTCTAATATTTTGCGAGGAGGAACAAAACTACAAAATTTTACGAAATTCTGGAAACCACTGTTGACCAATGCACGGAGTGAACTCACGATAAAGTTTGACGTTTGAGCGGTACCGTGCTTACGAAAATTGAACACATGAATAATGCTCACGTAACTTTAGAAAAGGGCCTATCAACTTTTGCAAACAACTTGTTAGGCCCTCTTCACGCGAACCGGTGAACACCCACGCAAACCAAGAAGGGTATAGAATTTACCCTACCCAATGGTGTTGTTCATTCCATGCATTGGTCAATATCGTTTTGCTATGGAATGGCCGTATATCCGGAGTGATTTGCGATTTAGGCGTAATTGCATTTGTAAACAAACACGTCAATCGCCGATTTCTCGCGAATGAAAGCTCAATTTCGAAAACTAATAACACTATGAGGTGAATGAATTATTCTTTTTTTCATTTGGCATAGCTTGTTTACGAGATTGAGGTTTGTTCACGAGAAATCGGCGATTGACCTGTTTGTTAACAAAAGCAATTACGCCCAAATCTCAAATTACTCCGGATATAGAGATACCATACATGTTTCGACCGCACTGCCCTCTGTTAACAATTAAGGGGACTAAATGTATGTGTAATTTCTGATAGATGTCATCATTGAGAACAGAAGTGACATCTGAAGGAAAATTAATTCAACAAGTTGGACGCCGAAATGAAACGGCTTAGCTGGGCATCACACAGTAATCAGAAATTTCAGTAGAGAAAATTTAGTTCAGCTGAATCTAAAGTAATCTTTGAATAAATATAAAAGTTCCCGGGAAACTCCGGAATCCCAGGAAACGAAATGTATGTTCCCAGGATTCGCGAATCCCGGGAAATCCTGCCCGAAAATTCAAATACTTGGGGTAGAGAGAACAAGACCTGCAGCTCTGTTTTTTTTTATTTCGTTTAAATGATCGCTAATGGTGAGGTGGTGGTCCAGGCAACTTGGGTGGACAGGCACACTTTTCCATCGATCGTTAGAAGCCTACAGAGCTGGTCCAACATAGGATTGCGTTCGTGGTCACATTGAGCTTCCTTCGGAGGACCTTCACACTGCTTCTGACTACTACCAGGATGATGCTATCCACGCACACGAAAATATCTAACGTTCAGAATCATAAGGGCCTATCTGCGCTGATCTATTCTCTTCATCGATTTACTCTTTTGTTAATCATTCGGCTAGATTAACATTTCTCAGTGGCTATTGCTTTTACAGCACTGTAATAATCATTAACTGTAGATATGCTCTTATGATTCTGAACGAGATCGGTAAGTTCCGCGACACCCCGTTCCTCCGCACCAGGAAAAGGGTAATGGCGATGACCGAGCCCAGGATCATCTATGTTAATTACAGAGCATAAAATTATTGACTGCACTATTCAATTCATTGCTCTGAAAAATGTAAAATGTGCGCTCAGTCATTCTTAACAAGAATTGGGTACCATCACGGAAGAATAAACATGCTGACTGAACTACTGACTGAGTGCTCGGCTGTCAGTGATTCGTTTACTTTTCAATCATTTATGGCGGTAAGCTCCAACTCGGATTAACTGTTGATACCGTCCCTGTTTGGATGATCTGCAAAATATTTGCTTAAAGTCGCGTTGATTCACTATGATGTCGACATCAAAGCAGCCGGACATTCTCGATCGGGATTTAATCCGAGGATAATACCGGTTGGAGCTTACCACCATTAGACTCTTAGGGGCCATGCATTAATTATGTCACGCTAAATCGAGCAAAAAATTACCCCCCCCCCCCCTATCGTGACGTTTTTCCTATACCTAATGCATTGCTTGTCACAAAATCTTAGACCCTCCCCCCTCCCCCTTAGAGCGTGACATAATATATGCATCAACCCTTACGAGGCAGTGAATGATAAGCCGGATGGCAATTCCTATTCATATGAAAATGACTCATTGAATCTGACTGTTTTGCGCACTGGTTATTTATAGCGAATTTATTTATTGTTCAATTCCAACCAACGGGTATCAATATTGATGAATTTACCACAGACAAACAGACATAACTCTCGCAAGTTGTTCATCGAACAAGTATTTAACGGACAATTTAAAAGTATCGTAGTTGGTAGTACCGCCAGCTGTGGCGCGCATAGTCAATTCCCTTGCGTTTGACGTTTACACACTACCGCCATCTGTTCAGCGTAGTGCCCACCACAGTGTACTCAACAGATGGCGGTAATGTTTTAGCGACGATGTTTTACAGTGAGAAATATTCAATGTGTTATGTCTGTTTGTCTGTGAATTTACATTACGATCGACCAGCAGATGGAAATGATGTGAAAATGATAATGACGTTTTGCTACCTGTCAAATCGTATGGAATTTTTTTAGTACATCATCACTTTTCTGGTTTTGGATTTCAAACCTAGGTGTCGCATGCACTGGTGCAGTTTCGCCACAGAGAACAGACATGGAGGCTCGAACAAGATTTCTCTAAAAACTTGCGTAAAGATTCCTATTCGACTTAAGCGCCACTAACGGCGACTTCTTCACTTAAAAACCCTCTTTGACAACATGATGGCGCTGGCGTTGCACAAATTACACTAGACACTAAGTGCTAGTAGCGCCAAGTGGCAATTTTCAACAGAAAATTTATCGATACTAGCGCCAAATTGGTCGAAAGTTGAAAATTTATAGAGAAAATCAGGAGATGCTAACACCACGTAACGGTGACGTTCCCACTTATTTTACACAAGTTTCTGACCGAACTTGAACGTCTGTTCTCTGTGAATTAATAATGTTTTGGTGTTTTTGACATCATCCACATCCAGAGGGCCAGTCACTTCGAATGTAAGGGAATGGTAGGAAACCATTTGGAAATGCATGAAAATTTTCAGTTTTTATTCATTATCGTCTTTATGGGCAGTTTTAGATGCTCAAAAATTGCACGAGTACATTACTATGGTGATAAGGTAAACACTCGTTTATTTGTTTCCTTCTGTGAAAGCATGTTTAGTCACAAATCGTGGATTTTCTGATATTCTCCATACTGCAAAAATGATTTTCCTACCGTTGAAGGGGCGACATCTCTCGGATCTTCAGTATAGCTACTACTCAAATCATATAATTAATTAGACAATCCAACCCAAACAATGCATAAGGTCCTAAATAACATTGATCTACTTCTTCGACTTTCTCTTCGTTAATAATTTGACTACAAAACCCGTTTCTTGACGTGTCTGTCGTATTAGGCCACAAATATACAATACTTTATCCAAAAGCTCATTTCACTTAAGATGCAATACTGTGGTTTCCAATACGAGCCAGTCAAATCTAAAAGGTGTGTTCTTATCTCGTCCCCTTAGTGCTACCTACAATTAGTATCTTTGTGTGGATTTCATATACACACTAACTTGAAAGTACCCATTAATAGGTAAAAAATACCCATTTAGATAAAAAGTGGCTTAACTCATTGATAAATCTTTTTTTTTACCCTTCATAAGTAACTGCTACTCATTAATGAGGTAATAGTTACTCATTAATAGGAAACAGATACTCATTAATGGGTAAAACATTTACTCATCAAAGAGTTAAGCGACTTTTCTTCAAAATGGATATTTTTTTACCCATTAATAGGTACATTCAAGCTAGCGTGTAGAGAAACCTAGTAATAGCATTTATGGGACGATCAGCACTTGAATGACTGAAAACGATACCGTACATATCAGTATAAACCGTTTACAATCGCTGCGTCACGAATGAATCGTCCAATTCCATTCAAATAACAAACACTACAACCAGCACCGGCATGACTTGGACGCTCAGTCGATTCATCGTCATCCACCCGATAGGTAAACCACGCCAAAATATCTAGTTTCCTTGCGTACCTCACTAAATACGTGTCTCCGTTAGCACATGAGAGTCAAATCTAATTACCAGCCGTTTGGTCTTGATTGGCGTTATAAATCCATTTAGTCTGCAGACGTACGATGACGGTAGAAACGGTAGAAAAAAATTAATCACCCCGAAGGGATTAGAGCAGGCAGGCAGAATATAGCTAGACCATTGAAATATTAAATGTAAGCCACTTCGGAGAAATGCAAATATGAAATGTGCGGGCAGGTCAAATCGAATCGGATGAAAAATTCATTTTTCAATTTTCCTCATTTCAGCTTCTGTAAAATGCCCTGCCATGGCACTGCGAGGTTGGCGACTCTTTGGGTTGGCCGGTACCATCCTGGTGTACATCGGCGGTATTCTGTTCCTGTCGTTTGTCAGCCTTCAGAGCCCGCAGCAGAAGCGTAACCATGGCCGAGGATACGGCGAGTTCGAAACCCTCCGGAGCCGAGACATCGGACTGCTAGGCAAGAAACCACCCCTTCAATGGTGCACCGAGCTCCGCTACATGGACAGCCCTCCACCGCCGCCAAAGGTCTACAAGCTGCTGCAGACCTTTCCCGGCCATTTTGTGAAACAGTTCCAGCAAATCCAGCATGACCAACCGCAACGGCACAACGATGTCATCGATCATAGCTCCAAACGGTCGGCCACGGCGGCCGACTTTCATTCGTCTTCGCAATGGCCTAATAGTAACAGCAACAAATTTAATACCAATAAGATAGCAACTAGTGATAGGATAGTCAACGATGGGCACCAGAAGTCTTCCAACAAACGGGAACTAACGGCGCTGGTGTCGTTTCCCGGAAGCGGAAACACGTGGCTGCGGTACCTGTTGCAGCAGTCTACGGGTAAGCGAATTTGTTGTCGGTCAATGCATTGAAATCCGACAGTAATTTTCTAATAATATATTACTTGCAGGAATGTTCACCGGAAGCGTGTACAAAGATTACGGCCTACTGAAGAGTGGGTTTCCGGCAGAAAATGTTGCTAATTCATCGGTAAGTATTAGTAAGTTTAAACAGCATTGTTATGCAAAAAAAAGAGTTTTCTCAAACTAAAAAGGGTAGGGCACGAAGTACACTCAAAAAATTCCACACGCCATCATCATGTGTCTCACACTTAATTTTGCGCTTATTGTGAAACACATCCATTTCATGTGTGAATCTTATGCTATGAACCATGCCTGAACACTATGGATTTGAATTGTGACACACTTGGATTCTATGTGTCTCATATGGTGATATCAATAGCTTTGCCCACCATAGTTCAATATTCTACAATATTCCACTTTATCGACTTCTACTTTACCGACTCTTCTATATCTTGTCTTCCGTGCTGAGCACCAATGCTACCGACGCCAGGGAGGCAGCTCTCACACCTGGACCTTACCTATCGACCCATCACCTCATGAACCGGGGACCAACGCCTTTACTTCCCTTGATCAGAGATGTTATGCCTCAGAACATCCCGACGGCGCCGAATGGGATTGAACCCAGGCCTGCTGGCGTGAGAGGTAATCACGCTGACCACTACACCACTGGCGCCGCTGTAAATTGATTCCCTGTCTGTCAGAAATAAGTCTGGTGAAATAGTAGGTTTATTTGAAAATTTTCCATTTGTCGAATTTAAGTGAAAATTCACCAAATGGAACACAGCCAAGTAAGAGTATGGACGTCCCAACAAACAATTCAAAGTCACAAATAAGCATACACATTGAATAAATGCTGTATAACAGTGTACAATGCTGAATAAAACAGGATGTCAAATTATGTGCTGAAAAAAGCTCATTGAGATCGATAGATGCACATTTAATCTGATTAATTTACTTATTAAAAGCTGTAAAACTGTTAAATGTCTTCCCAATTCAACGCCAGAAGTTCGATCTAATAACAAACTGAATAAGTGTAATTTGTACATACATTGACACATTCATTCGACTGTTTTCAATTGATTTTTTTTTTAACTCTTTATTTGTTCCAAATTCAAAATAAATAACATTTCATTTTTAACCTAGGTGCTCCAGTTACTGCAGTAACGTACCAGCCTTAATTGTTATGATATATATCTAAGTGTTTTTACATTGTTCATGTCTTGGCAATTAAGTATTTTAAACAGGTTTTTTAACCTGCATGTCAGTATAACAATTGATATCTTAAAACTAAAAACTAAAACTAAATCTTATCTATGTATAAAGGGAATTAATCGTTGCAATTGAGGATTGCAACGATTTTTGCCTGAAATTATTCATTATTGTGTTAGACATTTGTTCTAAAGTCTCAACATTCGAAATTCTATGTACCTCGGTAGTACTGTACCAGGGAGGCAACTTCAAAATCATTTTCAGAACTTTGTTCTGAATCCTTTGAAGTGCTTTTTTCCTGGTAGTGCAACAACAAGACCATATTGGCACAGCGTAAAGCATGGCCGGTCTAAAAACTTGTTTAAATATTAGAAGTTTATTCGTCAGGCAAAGTTTGGATTTCCTGTTATAAGAGGATACAAACATTTAATTTATTTGTTACATTTAGCTTGAATGCCCTCAATGTGATCTTTAAAAGTTAATTTTTGGTCAAGTATTAATCCAAGATATTTCACTTGGTTTGACCAGGAAATTGGAACTCCGTTCATAGTGACTATGTGACTACTACTAGGTTTCAAAAACGAAGCTCTAGGCTTATGTGGAAATATTATAAGTTGAGTTTTGGAAGCGTTGGGAGAAATCTTCCATTTTTGTAAATAAGAAGAGAAAATATCTAAACTTTTCTGCAGTCTGCTGCAAATAACACGAAGACTTCTTCCTTTAGCTGAAATGCCTGTGTCATCAGCGAACAAAGATTTGTGGCAACCCTGACGCAAATCAGGGAGGTCCGAAGTGAAAATGTTATACAAAATAGGCCCAAGAATGCTACCCTGAGGAACTCCTGCTCTAACAGGTAGTCGATTAGATTTGGAATTTTGATAATTTACCTGCAGAGTTCTGTCAGTTAAATAATTTTGAACTAATTTCATAATATAAAGTGGAAAATTAAACTTTTTCAATTTAGCAATCAAACCTTCATGCCAAACACTGTCGAATGCTTTTTCTATGTCTAGAAGAGCAACTCCAGTTGAGTGGCCTTCCGATTTGTTTGAACGAATTAAATTGGTAACTCTTAAGAGTTGATGAGTAGTTGAATGCCCATGGCGAAATCCAAACTGCTCATCTGCAAAAATTGAGTTCGTATTGATGTGAAGCATCATTCTATTCAAAATTATCTTTTCAAAAAGTTTACTTATTGAAGAAAGCAAACTTATTGGACGGTAGCTAGAAGCTTCAGCTGGATTTTTATCCGGCTTCAAAATTGGAACAACTTTTGCATTTTTCCATTTATCAGGAAAGTATGCCAAATGGAAACATCTGTTAAATAATTTTACCAAGAAAGACAAGGTACTCTCTGGGAGTTTTTTGATGAGGATATAGAAAATTCCATCATCACCTGGAGCTTTCATATTTTGAAACTTTTTAGTTATACACCTTACTTCGTCCAAATCAGTCCCCCAGGAATCATCAAAAATATTTTCCCGAGAGAAAATATTCAGAAAATCCCCAGCAACCTGATTCTCAATAGGACTAGTAAGACCCAAACTGAAATTATGGGAACTCTCGAATTGCTTAGCAAGTTTCTGAGCTTTTTCCAAATTTGTGATCAAAATTTTACCACCTTCTTTAAGCGCTGGAATAGGCTTTTGAGGTTTTTTCAAAATTTTTGTGAGTTTCCAAAAGGGTTTGGAACTCGGGTCTAATTTAGAAATATTATTTTCAAAAGTTTTGTTCCTCAGGGCAGAGAATCGCTTTTTAATTTGTTTTTGCAAATCCCGCCAGATAACCTTCATGGCAGGATCGCGTGTTCTTTGATATTGTCTCCTACGGACATTTTTAAGACGGATCAAGAGCTGAAGATCGTCGTTTATTATAATTGAATCGAATTTAACCTCACATTTTGGTACTGAGGCAGCTCTTGCTGCAACGATAGAAGTAGTCAGAGATTCAAGAGCATAATTAATTTCTTCTTTGGTTTGCAAAGGAATGTTTGGATCGAAGTTATATTCCATAAATGTTCGATACTGCTCCCAATCAGCTCTATGGTAATTGAAAGTAGAGCTGTTGGGATTACAAATTATTTCTTGGGATACTTCAAAAGTTACTGGAAGTTGATCAGAACCGAAGTCAGCATGAGTTACCAATTGGCTACAAAGTTGACATGAATCAGTTAAGACCAAATCAATAGTTGAGGAATTTCTTGCTGAAGAAAAGCATGTTGGGCTGTTTGGATATTGAATAGTGTAATAACCTGCAGAACAATCATCAAACAGAATATTACCATTGGAATTGCTTTGAGCATTATTCCATGAGCGGTGTTTTGCATTAAAATCACAAATAATGAAGAATTTAGACCTATGACGGGTAAGTTTCTGGAGGTCACCCTTGAGAAAATTCTTTTTCTGGCCTACGCATTGGAATGGCAAATAGGCAGCTATAAACGTAAGTTGTCCAAATTTTGTTTCAACAGAAACTCCCAAAGTTTCAAAAACTTTGGTTTCAAATGAAGAAAGAATTTTATGTTTGATTCGTCTATGAATAATGATGGCAACGCCACCACAGGGTCCATCAAGACGATCATTTCTATAAATCAAGTAATTTGCGTCCTTCTTAACCTTATGGTCAGGTTTAAGGAACGTTTCAGTTATAACGGCAATATGCACGTTATGAACTCTCAAAAAGTTAAATAGCTCGTCTTCATTATCTTTAAGAGATCGAGCATTCCAATTTAAAATATTTAATGCTTTAAAATCCATTACTGAATTTTAAAGTCATGACAATATTATTTGCAAATTTTACTCCAGTTTGAATAGCATCAAACATGGAGTTAGATTTAAGCATATCAGAAATCATGTCAATTAATGATTTCTGTAAAAATTCCATTTTAGGTGCAGTAATGCTTCCTAAGTCAAAATTGTCAAAATTTCCGTTAGAATTACTTTGGTTAGTATTTTGATTTCTACCCGGTGCAATAGCAGCATAGGTAGCTCCATTAACTCGCTGAACATTGTTAGCAGCGAGGGGAGTAGGTACAGATGAAAAATTTGAAGCAGGGGTGATATTTGTACCTACGGGTACGAATGTAGTATTTGTTCCTCGCTGACCGTTGTTAACAGCAGAGGAATTTGTACCTGGTCGGAAACGTGGACCGTTTCCTACCTGACGGTTAGAACGAGATTGTAGGATCGCTTTGCGAGTCTTACATTCCCAAAAATTGGATTTGTGGTTTTCACCACAATTTGAACATTTAAATTTCTTAGGATCTTCCTTCACAGGACAGTCGTCCTTTGCGTGAGAGGAATCACCACAATTCATGCATTTAGCTGGCATGTAGCAATTTTTAGTTCCGTGACCCCAACCCTGGCACTTACGGCACTGAGTGAGGTTTTGGAAATTTCCTCCAGTCTTCCTGAAGTGTTCCCACTTCACTCGGACATGGAGCATAAGGCTAGCTTTTTCCAAGGCCTTAAGGTTGTTTAGCTCACTAGACTTGAAGTGAACTAAATAAAAATCATTAGAAATCCCGTTGCGCGAATCGCCAGGACGGAATTTCATTTTCATTTTGATTACTTGGAGTGGCACAACTCCAAGTAATTTTGCCAGTTCATCTTTGATCTGATCCAGGGATTCACCACTGGGCCCCTTTCATGACAACCTTGAACACACGTTCAGTTTTGGTGTCGTAAGTAAAAAAATTGTGCTTCTTCTCAGTAAGATACTTGAGAAGACATTTAAATCCGTCCAAGGTTTCAGCCAATACACGGCATTCACCCCGACGTCCAATTTGTAGAGAAAACTTAACATTCACGAAGTTCAAAAGTTCCATGCGAAGAGCATGGAAATCGGAAGTGGTTATCACAATAGGGGGAATCTTTTCCTTCTTGGCATTAAGCCGGGAAAGTTTACTAGAATTTTTCT